AAAAAAAAAAAAAAAAAAAAAAAAAAAAAAAAAAAAAAACAAAAAAACAAAAAACGAAACTGAAACTCCAGATTTGGGAAATTACTGAGTTTCAATATCCCCCACCTTTGGTATGTACATATCATCCATTCTAACTGTGAGCATGTAACCGTTGTTATAGTGAACTTTTGGTCATTATATTGGATAATCTTCCCCTGTTCGAACATAAGGTATTGCAACTGTGTAGCCTCAACAAATATAGATTATGACATTATCATGAACAAACCGTGGGTATGAGAACATGTCAAGATGACATATGATTGACTGACAGCTAGCTAAGTTCAAAGTCGTACCAAGGAAGTGTTTATCCCACAAGTCAAACTATTCTTCCTTACTTTTTATGCACTTAAATGTTGGAAAATGTAATATAGGGTGGATGAGATTAACTCTTCGCTGTCATGGATCTGGGGCCTAAGCTTCTTGTAGTATGTAATGTGTCATGATGTGAGCAAGCGATATGAACAAGTCGTTTTCTGATGGCAGTTGGAACTATTTGGCAGTTAACAAGTGTATCAGTGTTGCAGTTTCTTCTACCTACCGGAGGGTTTGTACAGGGTGTAGCTCTGAGTGACTACGAGCTATGAAGCCCATGTAAAGTAGTATGGCTATCAAATATCTCAAATAACCTTTGTTTTTAATTTGAGTTGTTTCAATGCAGACTAATTTCATGGTAGCTATTAGGACCATCATTATGCTAGATCAATATTTTTTCCTCCTATCCTCGTTAATATTTTCACATTTGCAAGGATTAGTAGCTCGGGACATTTCATGCTTCTTGATTACTTGTGCCCTGTCAATAGTCCTCTGAGAAAAAACAAGGATACTATCTTCTAAACCCTTTTAGGCTGGGGAATGTCCAAGTCCAACTAAAGTCTTAAGTATAAGTATATTTCTTGATAGAGAGAATTTCCCTCGGAGTCTTACAAATATACCCTTGGCTGATTTCTGGCTCCATGTACTTCACTGGCCACCCAGTCCCCCAATTAGCATGCAAATTTTAGCAGGCTTAATGTACATGAAGCCCGGCTCTGTTCACGAAAACTTCTCCTGCTTTGGTTGAAAAAGAGTGTAGAAGATTGACTACTTGAATATAGACTTATCCGCAATAATTGAAGCAAATAAACTGACTGTTAACAGGTCTAGGAGAACCGTTGAACCTGTTCAACACTTGTAATGGAACCTTAAAACTAGAAATACTAAAACACACTTGGATAAGGAAAGACACAATAATCATGCGACTCCTACTGTCAAGAGGAAGCATCTGTAAAGCTGTACCTTGTGAATTAATCCGAAAGAAAAGCTTAAAGCACTAGGAAACAAAGAAGATTTTTACTCCTAACAGCTACTAGGAACTCTGGTTATTATCAACGCACCTTCTACGTTTTCTTTATTCATTAAAATAATTGCTGTCCTTTTGATATAGGTTATTTCTGAAGATTCTGGATGTTGCAAGATGCTTGGATTTCTCCCACGTGAGTTAGCTAAGTTTTTGTCTCCCCTAATTGGGAAGTATTGCCTAAGCTTTAAGGTACTTCTTGGCCTACTTCACACTTGACAATTCTCATGCATGCAAATTTGTGGCATATGTTTTCAAGTCAGTTTCCAGTATAATACTCTAATATGCAGAGGACAAAATATTCAAATAAAGGAGAAAACAGGTAGCGAATACATTGAACATTTCTTTGTTGAAATACAAGTAGGAAGTATTAAATAAGTTACTTGATTATTCTTAAACCAATACTTTTTTCTTTCACGATCTGGTAATGAGGGAAAATGCAATTAATACCAGCCTTTGTAGGTAACTTTGAGAACTAAATTCTATTAGGAATATGATGTTTGCCATGTTCCCTTGCCTTAGAGGTGTTGACATTAATTGCAAAGTTAAATAAAACAACTCATTAACAGAAATATTACTACTATAATTTTCTGTGTTTCTTTGTTTCCTACGTGGGTTTGGCCTTTGTTTTTCTGTGACATTTTCCTAGATTCTTATTTATTTGAGTGGAAGCTAGTTTTTTTCATAAAAGTCATTCTGCTTTTTCAAGAAGTAACTGAGAACTTTATCATTCCAATGACAAAAACAATTAATTATACCCCTCTGGCTAGCTTGGTAGGACGTCTTTTGGCTATCAAGATGTCAACAATTATATATTTTGGCTCACTTTGCGCTCTCCCTAAATGGAGGTTTAGGAAGTGGCGATGTTTAATGCCTCTTTGTGTTCGTCTATCACTAAACTAAGCCTTTATGTAATTATGATCTTGATTTTGTCAAATTTCCATTTACGTTAGGGTTTCTCTTTTTTCGTATATCTTTATATTCTTTCATTTCTCAATGAAATTTTGATTTCTTACCTAAAAAGACTTGCATCATAAGCTTCTTCCGGGAAGAGGGGGAAATGAGTTTTTAGACCTTGATTCTTTCAGGGATTTGTGACAACTGCTCCCAGAAGTTCTGTTGACGTTGTACCCATAGAGGTCATGTGTGACAACATCAATTTACTAAATGAGAAAATTTTTGATGTTGAGTTCAAAAATTTATGGACAAGCATTCAGCAAGTAATTGATTCAATGAAGAATTTCACACCTAATGCATTGAAATATCAGAAGAACTTTTGTCTTTTGATACAAGAAGTTTTACAGGGTTATTCCCATTTGTTGTCTGATGACGAAAATCATTTTCTAGGTATCTTTTCAAAGTTATTTATCATCAGTTATCCAGTTTCTTGCAAGTTTTTCCTGTCTTTTATGGATTCCGCCTTGGGCAGATTTATTCAGTTCACTATCAGATGATAATCAGAGGCTCTTTATCCGGCTTTATATGCGTAAAGGTTTGGCTTCCTTCTAGTTTTCTTTGTATTATACCATCATTTGCAATTTGCATGTGATTCAGTGTAGTACACAGAGGACCATAATGGCTAAATTTTGAGAAGGCTATGATGCCTAACAAGAATTTTTACAGGTAAATAGAACGACTATGGGTTGGTCTTGTGGCTATTATAGTCAATGAAAATAATAAAGGGTTCAGAGGAAATAGCTTCAAACTATGGTGGCCATCAACCTAAAATTTAATTACCCTACAAGTTTTTTTTTTTTTTTTTTTTACAATCAAATGTAGTATGGTCAAATGTTTCCTCCGTCAGATTTATGGAAGTGGGCAGATGTTGCAACTCTTACTGTTAAGTTGTTAACCTTGTGATTCAGGCATGATAAAGTTAACATGTCAGGAGTTGCTAGGATTAAATTAGACTTCTTTATAGATAAGGATTGGCTATTGACTGTCAAAAAACATATGGATAAGCTATTGTTTTCTTGTTCTATTGGTATGGTTTTCTCCGTGCAAGTGGCCTTCGACACACCATCATACTTGTTTTTCCATCTTAACTTTCACTTATCTATTCAGTTTGTCTTCATGTTGTTATTTTGTTTTATAGGACCATGGTTTCGGATGTCTTCTACTTCATATAAAGAAGTATTGGATTCTAAACAGGCAGTCAAGGAGCTCTCAGGTAAATTCTTTTCACCGATGTACACAATCATTCTTGTAATTCTTGATGATGAGTTTTCGGATCTCTCACCTTTCCACTCCACTTTCAGAAGCAGGTTATCTATGTTGCTTTGATACGAATGAAGCTGATAACACTGACATGATCCAGATTTTGAATCTTCTCACTGTCTCTGAGCTCCGTGAAGTCATGTGCATGCTTAAGAAGGTTTGCTATTATTAGTATTCCTTTTCTCTATAACTCATTAGTGGGTACATACATCCTAGTCATTTGAAGAGTTGAATGGCACCGTAAGTTCTTATGTGCATGCTTAAGAAGGTTTGCTACTATTAGTGTTCCTTTTTCTATAGCTCGTTAGTGGGTACATCATAATCATTTAAAGAGTTGAAGACACCGCAAGTTCAAAATGTTGTTTGGTTGTCTACATAGGTCATTTGAACATGTACACAAGGGGAAACTAGAACCAAAGGTGTAAGATCTTCAGACTTCATTACAGCAACAATATGGTTGTTTTGTATATTAATTGCTTTTTCCATCATATAAACATATGTTTTTCTTTATATTAGGAATTAAATGTTCGTATGAATTTATGTTAAAGTTGCTTTCCAGTGATCCAAAAATCCACCTCATCAAAGTGATCATCTATAAAATTTGAGTTATCAGTTCCTTAGTTTTTCTATTAAAAAAAAAAAAAAGGAAACAAGAACTTTGTTTGGTCATTGAAAAGTTCAAAAAAAGGAATAATAAAATCTCCCTTCAAGTAACAACGAAGCACCCCAACAAAGAGAAAAACCATTGAAGGATGATTCGAAAACATGCTCCTCTTAGAACTATTTCCACACTAAAAATCAAACCCTTTTGACGAAAAACACTCAACCACTCAATACAACAAGTTCCTCCCAGCCAACACCACAATTACTTGAAAAAGAATTGAAAAATCTCTCCTAAAAACTCGAAGTCCTCCAACTCTTCAAGAAGAAGCCTGAAAATTTTGAAGGACTCTAAAAGGTAAGAGAATGGTCTTGTGCATTTACAAGAAGAAGTAATGAAGAAGCCTGAACTGCGAAGCAGCAAACTCAAACATTCTTATACTACTCCAATAAGATGCCTGTGTCTTCATCCAAAGCCCAAAAACTCTAAAAACAATAACGGAGCCAACTTCAAGTTCCCTGGTAAACCAAGAAAATAATAATATGAAATTTATTTCCACCAGTAAGAAGTTTCAAATCAAACCATTGAAGAGGTGATTGAACAAATCGCAAGTTGGATCACTTAAGTCTGAAACGGCTAACTGTTGAATTCAGGCTTGCTCAGGCCTACCATCAGTTCACTCTCTAGACTTTTGTTTTTTTGCATGTTTATCTGATGTTTTTCCCATCTGTTGAGGCCTCAGAATTGCAGTAGCAGCATGAGAAAGGATGATCTTGTTGCCTCTCTTTTGGCCCCCTACGAAGATGGACTGTGGTATACATGCCTTTTGTATGTGTGTGTGTGTGTATCAAAGACATCGACTATGCTGTATTATTAGAAATCTGAAATTTTTCTTTCCCATTATTTCTGTAGTCCATTACTTCCAGATCTAATTTTGGGCAAAATTGGTATCTGCGTTAGGCTATCCTCTAAAGCTGAATTGCTTATCTGGCGTGCTGAGGTAGCTGTTTTCAAATTTTATCCTTGTCATAACTTTCATCAGATTTTAGCCTGACCTGTTCTTTAACGCAGTATGTAAATGTTGTTGCTTGTGCAGAGGCTTTTCTTCCTCAATGGAGAGCAGGATTTATCAGCCTTTCTGCTTGTTGATATGGGAATAGTCAAGTATCCAACTTACAGCTGCATAATTTCAGACCAGATTTTCTTGGATCGAAATGATTTGCTTGCTTATGAAGAGGTCTAACTTGTTCTTATGCTGATTTTTGTTTATCTTTGTGATATTTTGCTTTGTGTAATATTTACATATTGTAGGCCATTGAAGTTGCACAACTAATTGATGAAGCTCTTGACGAGGACAACAAAATGGTTTTAAGATGTGTATCAGTTGCTAACTCTCGTGTGAAGCCAAATCAGTGTACTACCTCTGAATCAGTTCCATTCTTTTCATTTTTTACAGCATCATGGATCTATTCAAAAGTATTGTCTCTTGGAGTTTCCTTTCTTGAGCGTGAGAATAGGTAAATATAGATATTAAATTTTCTGCTCCAATCCCATTCCATAAATGCATGCACAGACATGCATATGCATGAATGTATGCATGTACACATATTCATGCTTTGGCCAACCATCTTGGTCTTTGTTGTGCTTGATATTTAATGTCTCCTGACTACTACTACTACTACAAAAAAAAGAGCAGAAAGGGCTGAATGAAATATCACCATTCATGACATGAATTGATTAGGTTTCCTAAATGCAGTGAGAAAGGATAGTATGAATGCTAATGGACTGTGATCGTTAACACACCTCAGAGGAGAAAAAGGAAATAGAGAAGACTTGATGCATCCTTGCCTCAAAAAAAATTCGAAATTTTGCATTTTGACATGACCCCAAAATGTAATTATAATATGAGTAAATCTGCACTTAACAAAAGACCCTTATCTGTCCTTCCTTTGTTTTGCAAGAATTTGAGATCCCCTTACCTTGGACATTCAGCAAAATCTTGGGCTTTCAAGATTTCTAAATAATCATATTGTATCTCTTACCTTTTCTTCTTTATTCTACTTGAACATTTGTATTTATATAAAATCAATATGTTTGTATGGTTTTCTTTTTCCTACTTGTATTTTTTAATACTATTTTTTATTACACTTATTAGTGGAAAGTAGAATTCTGCCCTTTCTCACCAACCCTGAGCAAACTAAACCGTAATTGGCACTGCATTCTATTTTATTTGACTGCCTTACCCATCCTTGCGACCCCAGCTTTTATCCCTGGATTTTCCACATTTTGCTCCTAACTGAAAACTGATCAGTAATAAGAGCAATCAGTTTTTTTTTTTCTTTTCGAGTTGACAAGCATTTAGAATTAGCTTCACTTTTAGTTTGATGGTCAGGAGGCTATTCTATTTAGTAAATTAAATGTTTTGTATTCTCGGAGTAATTTGTGGTGTCCAGTAACCTTTTTTTAATTTCCAATTTGATAAAAGCATGTAGAAAAGGGTTTTTTGAATGATTTTCAAAAACTAGTCTAAGCATATTTTTCTTGCATAATTTTGAGAAAAATATGTTCGTTGGAAATTACTCTGTTAAATTAAAGCATGCATGTAACTTCTTCATCAAGACTAAAAAGGAACTTGTATGTCTGAGTAGGTACAATGATGCAGTGCTACTACTTAAGCGATTGCTAAGTTGTAACACTCCTGATGGAAGAAGAGGATATTGGACCTTGAGGTTGTCAATTGATTTGGAGCATTTGGGCTATCCCAGCGAGAGCCTGTCAGTAGCTGAAAATGGATTGTTAGATCCATGGGTTCGAGCTGGTTCAAGAATGGCATTGCAAAGGCGCATCCTTCGCTTAGGAAAACCACCACGTCGGTGGAAAACCCCTAGTTTTGCTGAGTCTATAAAGAGGAAAATCACCGAGGTATCTAATTATACATGGCTGCTGTTATTCTGAGGTTTGACATGCATGTTGGATGCTAATATCAAAGTTATTGGTATTGGTATATGTTAGTGAATAATTGTAGCCTTACATTGCAAACAAGTAGGTACACGTTCAAGGGCGACCATTGAACCGTGAAACAGGTATGAAGAGCAGGTTTTATGGAGAAAGTGGAGAGCAATGTTCAGTTGAGCAGCTTGCACTCGAGTATTATAATGGGGAGGGAGGTGGATGGCTAGGTGTTCATTCAGAAAGTGGCATTTGGTTAACCATTTTTGGGCTTCTCATGTGGGATGTCATATTTTCCGATGTCCCAAATGTTTTTCGTACAAAATTTCAGGTATGTTTTAGTAAAGAAAGCCAATAAGCACTAGCCCCAATTTTTAGATCTATACTTTCTCTTGGTGTACATAGTTTGCAATGCACACCGTAGTGTGAGCTGGTCAGTTATATTTATTTAGTGGGCCGTACGTTCATGTGCTCTCATGGAACTCAATTAAGCTCGTGTCAGAATCACATGTCCTTTCAATGTGATTATAACGTGCCATGCTGAAACTAAGTAGGATAAATGGTCTGGTTATGAAAATGGAGACATCACACATGGCAAAAAAAAAAAAAAAAAGTATCCATCGTTATGTTCGTATGAGGAAGACTTCTACTGCTTCTGTTGTTAACTTATAAGGTTTTATAAATTTTAAGATTTGTCTTTTCAGTTTAGAGGATCTTTAACATTAGAAATCTGTCATTTGCAGACTGCTCCCCTGGATTTTGGAACAGATAGCTTTTATTTATTGAGACAGAACAGTATAGAGTCCCAACTACTGAAAATTCAAGATGGCATGGGCGAAGAGATCCTCATTACGTCGTGGGAATCACACAAGGGAACAGCCTGCAGTGGAGTTAACTGGGACCGACACTCACTAGCCGAGCTTCGGGCAGCTGTGACATGCATTGGTGGCCCTTGTATGGCTTCACTCTGTCGGCATCTTGCGCAAGATTATCGAAGTTGGTCGAGTGGAATGCCAGATTTGTTGCTATGGCGCTTTAACAGTGAATACAGTGGTGAAGCTAAACTTGTTGAAGTAAAGGGTCCCAGAGACAGACTGTCTGAACAGCAGAGGGCATGGCTTTTGCTTCTAATGGATTGTGGCTTCATTACAGAGATCTGCAAAATCACCCCCATGCCTAAATCAGCTTAAAAGGTCGATAGTAACTTGAGCAGAAAAATCAAAGCTCTCTTGAAAGTTCTAACCAATACTACTTAAAGAAACAAATTTATTTTGTGTGTGAAAATTATGTCCCATATATAGAGAGAAAAGTATCAGTGTAGGACTAAATGGTTTGAGGTCTCATCTTGTTGCTTACATAAAGAACGCCAAAAAGGGAGTGTGCCTTATAAATTGGAACTGGAACTGCATGACATAAAACTAAACACTTTTGAAACCAGTTTCAAAACAAAACAAAAGTAGACTTGGATCTAGGTTGGATTTACAACTCGTACACACCACTGCATTGGTCACTCCACATCTCATTTATCATTTACTCTGAGTATCTAACTTTGTTATTAACAACGTTATATGAGTTATCTCTTTAGTATATTTAAGTTTTCTAATTATTTAGTATATTTAAGTTTTCTAATTAATAATCCATCTAAATGTTATGGTCTAGATCGGCTTCTTGGTTCAACCATTCACTTATTTCATAAGCTTTGATCACCAATCCTCGTGCTGGCTCGAGTTCTCTACTCGAGCCACTGCTACCAGTGACAGACGTCCTTCCACAAGTGTAAGTTTTCTAGTACCCAACGGAACTTTGGGTTCTTAGGTATTGATATCTCAGGATGTTCTAATTATCGTTTACCTATTTACTCTATTTATGAATAAATCATGAAAAGATTCACTATTGGTCAAATACAACCTGTCTACTAGATACTCTAGCAGCCTAAAGTAGTACTCAACCCGAGACTAGGAATATTCATATCTCTAATTTAGCACTCAATCTGTGAGTTAAGGGGTTCCATTAAGTTCAATTAATGTAAAAATTAACAATTGAACAATTTTGCCAAAATTCACATATTTTAAGAAAAAAAAAAAAAAAAGCTTTCTAAGTGTCGTTTTTCCTTTAAATTGTCTACCGTTTGTTCATAAACACTTTAAGGTAAAAATTCAACGAAAACAAAAATTTAAGGTAAAAATTGAGCAAAATTTTATACAAGTTGGCAAGTTTAGAAGGAAAATCAATAAAATAATGAGATATATACAAATGAAGAGAACATAAGGACAGCATATGGATCAACAAGAGTAAACCCCAGAAGAAGAAGAAAACTATTTGACAAGCCCTTTCCAATGGCCGACAATCATCAGGAGACTGTAGAGTTACAGAAGAATTTAGAATGTAGAGACGCCCACCAAGAACTCTATTCTGTAAGAGAGATCATAAAATAATCAAAACCAAGAAACTGTATCGCCAGAAAATTCCAAGCATTAACAATAATACCATACCTAAGAGCCAATCATTTATTCTCCGAGGAAGATCAAAGAGCAATGGAGAAACAAGTTCAATATCTTCTACCTCCCTCAAGCACCATCTACAACCAGATGAATTCTTTATCAAAGACCCTGATCTGAGGCCCAAATTCCAGGATTAATTAAAGTTGCCCCCAACGCTCAGAGATGGAAGCACCTTTTTACTGATTATGGAACATCGTGCAGTTTGGAAAATTGAGTTTTTGTCAAGAAAACTATACCCAGAAAGCTATGTACAGAGAATCAGCTATTTTTTGTTTTCATACATTTCCAAATCCTTTTCTTTTTCTTCCATCTTAATACGGCCAATTTCTGTGATTTCCATTTTCGATATCTTTGTCTATTCTTCATCCACTGCATATAATTTTTCCCACGTTTGCACTCCACAAAGTCTGTTATATCACCATAAGATGAAGAGCCTTTGGGGTCTGCTAGCAAACACTTGAGAAATATCTCCCCGCTGCAAGTTTCTTCCGCTTCCTCTATGCCAATATCACACTCCTTTCCACAAGTATTATTATGGATGGGAGCAGTTTCCATGGATAGTCCCAAATCATCATGCATTCTTCGATGGCAGCTTTTGAGAGAATCCGTTCTGCAAGATGAAGGTTAAATAAATTTATCCGTTCAAAAAGTCTCCTAATGGTAAAATGTGGTCAAAGCATTCCATTCCACCCAGATCTTAATGTCATAGTAATGTCATAAAAATGACCAATTTCCCAACTGAGCTACACGTGCAGCAAACAGTGCTGCATAAAGAAGAGCTAATGATAAATAATACAACTCAAAGAATCAACAAAGCTAATGATATAGAAGAGAACAATTTAATCTAATCAGCTGAAAAATTTGGGTCTACAAACATTTTTCTCATTGTCGTGCTTGAGCAATACCAAGAAGAGAAAAGCTTGAAATATTCTTGAGGCCGTACAAACTCTCTAAAGAAGAAAAACCAACTATGAAAAACAGCAATCTAAGAGATGGGGAGGCAAGAACAGGTATAAAAAAGAGAGCTGCATAGACTATGCATTTAAAGGCAAACAGATAAACGCATATTCCAGAAGATGAGACAGTTTCGTTTTGTCCGCATGGAATAGTTCCAAAGATATTTCAAAAAGAGGCTCTCGTACCTCATTTGAAATGTCTGAATCTTTTGAAACTCCACTGCAACTGTTTCACTAGATTTTAGGTCTATCAAACCCTATAAGATATGTCAATAGTTAAAGAGGTAATTCAAAGTAGTAGTGAAAGAGAAGAAAAATTAAAGAGCGCAGCAAACCAAAGTCAAGAAAAACAAAATAAGGTGTACCTCTTTAGCGTTCTCAGAGCCACCTAATAATGATAATGCATCTAAATCTCCCTCTTCAAAAACAAACAGATTCAATGTTGTCATAATTGCAAGTACACAATCTTTCACTAAGAAGTCGAACCCTCTAGAAAAGCTTAATGCCAGTAGTCCGGTAAAATGCAGGAACATCCACTTGGAATTCTTATGCCTCTCTGGATGAGATTTCATCACTTTAGATATAAGATTCTGATTTGGTAAGGAAACATCAAATTCCTCAAAACAGCTAATGATACTCAAGATAAAACCATACTCTGTACTTGATGAAACATCTCGTAAGGTTTTAAGGCCACCAGAGTTTCCATGGTGCCTTAGACACCAAACAGCAGGCAACAATGATGAACTCATCAACTTCAATATAGAAGCAAGAAGAAAAATATCATGGTGACTTGCGTACCCAGTCTTGTAAATTTTAGTGTCAACATCAACCTGAGAAGCCCCAAGAACTATACAATGTAGGATTGATAAAAAATCATCTTTATGTTGTTCATCAAAAATATGTTGGTTCTCCTCCACATATGAACTCGCTAAGGTTAGGAGCTCTGATTTTTCCCTCAAAAATAAACAAGTGTTTTCATACTTGGAAATAAGATTGTCAACCTTTTCTCTCCTAACCTGTTGAATATAAGATTCAAAAGGTTGCTGACCACTACTCCAAGGCACACTTGAGTTGGAAAAACAGCCATTGGAATTCAACGGGGCATCTTTCAGATACGAATTAGACATACGTCTATTATACATCAAGATTGCCCTTTCAAATGCTACAAGGAACCGATCCATAAGCCTATGATCTGGGTTTGGGGATTTCACGAAAACAGCGATGCCAACGACTTCAGAAACCAGTGAAATAAAATGAGCCTGGAACAATTTTGGTGCAGAGAGAATGACGGGATTTAGAAGTAATGATAAGGCCGTGGTCAGGCTTAATTCAGGAACTCTTAAATCCTCATACTGTGCCCAATATAGTCTATTGAGGAAATTATGAAATGCCTGCTCATCAGAAACTGACAGGATGAAATGAGCAGAAATCACCTCCAGCACTGTCCCAATTCCACCATGTACTAAGTTGTGCATAAATACCATTTTAGTAGTAGAAGATGTAGAATCCACCAGCATAAAGTATTCCCTCAATGATCCATGCATTAGAAGCTCATCCACAAATACCTATGAATCATTACTCCAAATTAAGTTGTACTACTATCATTTATTAACAAACCCCTAAATGCAAAAACTGAGGCGACAAAAGAACACAAGCACACGAGTAGTAGTAATAATACATACATAAATAAACAAAGGCAGTGTAGTATATCAAACAGAAAAAACTTATTGCAACAAGGTGAACATTTTATGCAAGATAGTCATGAGAATTGAGTGCTAGCTGAAACTCACTCCACAAGGAATCCAAACGATATAATGGGAACGTACAAAGATTCTCAAGCTGAATGGTCGGCAAAGGCAGACAACATCAGAGATCAGAGAGCATAAGTGGTAATTCTATTCTTCATAAATTAGAAATGTGAACCAAATGATAAACATTAACAAAACATAACAGTGTTGTCCTTCATGTGACTATGTCCAGTGAGCGCAATTGTGCAAGCGAGTTCCTTGCAATATGCCTACAATATTCTCATCTAATTGGTCAAGATATAAAAAATTTAAATCATTTGAATCATGGTAATCGATAGATAATACCTCATGCAAGTGGGAAAAGGTGAAAATGCAATAAAAAGCAGAGAAATGATATCGAGTCCCAAAAAGAGAAGGAAATTCTGTAAGAACCTCAAGGACTGCACATATGAATGGATGGCATGGATCAGAAGGTTCTAAAATACACAAGGAAGCAACAAAATCCTCAGAGATAAAGGTAGTACAATCAGGTTCAGTGATTCTGCATTCATGTAAAAAATACTTCTCCAAGCTGATAGACTCTTTCTCCTCCTTTCCACTTGTAATCAAATACAGCAATTTCCTGAGTACTGAAAGAAGAACACCGACCTTTTCGTGTACAACATTTTGTTCGAAAGCAACCAGAGTCAAGATAACCAAACAACTTCTCAAGAGCAACATAAACTCTTTAATGGAGTTCCACAAATCATTATCTTTACGAGCATGTTCAGGAGAAATGCTGAAAGAAATAGTTCTCAAGTCATAGAAAACTCGCTTAAATCTCCGATCAAGTTCTTTGAACAAAAAATCTGCCAGATCACATAAATCCCGGAAACTTTTACGGCTTCCAGACTGACTAAATTCTTTGTTCAACTCAACCAATGCGGCTTCATTTCTAGACAAACCCAACGGTTCAGTTAAAGACCACTGAAGCAGGAGGCAGTACAAACGTTTCATGATGGTGGGAGTTATAAACCCTGACGACAACAAAATGTAAGAATAAGATGAGAGAAATCGTTGGTTTCATAGATTAATTCTCCAATAAACTCAAAATTCACCAAACTCCAGCAGCCAGAAAACAGAGAGAACCGAAAGTACTAAACAAAATGGAAATGCAAACATGAAAACTACCAGGATTTGGAATATACTAGTGAAATTGCGTACATAATAGGGGAGGAAACTGGTAATTCGCACAAAGAAAAACCTAAAATGGGAAGAAGGGAGTTTCCAGTGTAAGAAAATGCGTAAAGATTCAAACCCAGGGCGTCGGTGTGTGGCGTTCGCAGCCTTAAGTGGAGAAGAACAATGAATCAGTTTATATATATAAATTTTTTTCAATTATTATTATTATTAATTTATTTATTATAAAATAGCTGAACTTCGGTCTAAGTTTCAATTAGGAGATTTGAGTTGGATTGGTTGTCCAATTGAATCCAATAAGATTCATAGCTCTTAAAACCATTGTAGATGTGGCTTCAATCTAGACAAAATTGATTGTGTAGTACTTCCCTAAACATGACTCAAACGTGTGAGTGTGAGTCCCCAAGCGGTTCGCATCCCCTTGAGTCCATCATAGTTGAACTAATTGTTTGTAGTTGGACGTTCGGAGGTCAGCAAACCTTTGAATATCATACAGGACATGATCATCATCATCACCATAGTGTACGCGTCTGTACTCATCATCATAAATGGGAAAGGAACCCAATGTAAATGAAACACAATATGCATAAGGTCCCTATAGCTTTGATCTTAAATCATTCTTATGATACAATCATATACATCATTCATATATTACTCTAGTTAACATGCATGCATTGGTCTTCATACATTCATCATAATTAAATAATTGGGGTTGTCTCAAAAAAAACATTTTGTTATAATACATCATGACAACTCATACATGCACATCATTTTAATATGAAATATCATCATATTAAGTTATATTGTTATTATGCATCTTAGGCCATCATATCATCATAAATTTTATAACATCATGACATTATGACATCAATATCATACAACATAATGTCATATCAATTCACATCATCATAATATCATATCGATTCACATCATCATAACATCATAATATCATATCGAGTCATATCATCATAACATCATAGCATCATCATAGTATCATATTGAATCACATCATCATAACATCATAGCATCATCTTAATATCATATATAAACATAGATGACACATGCAAGGGCCATTGGGCACGTGTCATCATACATAAGATAAGTCTTCCGATCGAGGTGACAACAAGGTCACTTACTTGGTTGGTCTTACCTAAAGTTCTATCTAGCTCCAAATTTATTTGCTTTCGTCCTTTGAATTCGTTCTCACTCATGTCAAAACTTCACCTATTTTGAATATGTCAATATTATTTCATGTTGCTTGTATCATACCATCCAAATATTGTTTTATAAAGATTAAAAAAATAATAATAATAAAATAAAATAAATTAACATGTTTCCCCCGACGCAAAAATTCTGATGAGTCGCAGAAATTCTTGTATCATCAGCCTACATGTTTCCCCCGACGCCAAGAATACACCAACAACCTTCAATTGCACCTCACAAAATCCACCTGCAAAGAAAAATAACATGATACAGAAGAAAATGAGGGAGAAGAAGAAAAGACGGTTGAGTTACCTCATGACGAACATGACGCTGACAACCACCCTTCGAGACTCATTGCACCATATAGTGTAGATAACACTATGGAGGAGAGGATTGACAAGCTAGGGAACAACATGATTGCACACAAGTGATTACTACTGAACGATGTCGTAGCTTTGCTGGTCAATTGATTACTAGTGTAACTCTTTGTTTGAACCTTGGTAGGTAGAGAGGGAGATGAAGGAGTTCCAAAGAGGAAAAGAATGAATAAGAGGCCGTTGGGAGGCCACATTTTAATTTTTTAATGTTATTAATTTTATTTAGTTTTTGTTGGGTTATTTAAAAGATGTTGTGGAACGTGTAAATCCATGACAGTGTTTTAAGATGAAATTTATGTTTTAAAGATGTTTTCGAACACGTAAATTCATGACAGTGTTTTCCGATGAAGTTTATGTTTTAAAAATGTTTTCAAACACATAAGTTCATGACAGTGTTTTAAGATAAAGTTTATGTTTTAAAGATGTTTTCAAACACGCAAGTCCGTTTTAAGATGAAGTTTATGTTTTAAAGATGTTTTTGAACACTTTAGTCCATGACCGTGTTTTAAAATGAAATTTATGTTTTAAAGATGTTTTCGAACACGCAAGTTCATGACAGTGTTTTAAGATGAAATTTATGTTTTAAAGATGTTTTCGAATACGCAAGTCCATAAAAGTGTTTTAAGATGAAGTTTATGTTTTAAAGATGTTTTCGAACATGTAAGTCCATGAGAATGTTTTAAGATGAAGTTTATGTTTTAAAGATGTTTTCGAACACGTAAGTCTACGACAGTGTTTTAAGATGAAATTTATGTTTTAAAGATGTTTTTGAATACGTAAGTCCATGACCGTGTTTTAAGATAAAGTTTATGTTTTAAAGATATTTTCGAACACGTAAGTCCATGATAGTGTTTTAAGATGAAGTTTATGTTTTAAAGATGTTTTCGAATTCATAAGTCCACAGTGTTTTTAAGATGAAATTTATGTTTTAAATATGTTTTCGAATACGTAAGTCCATAAGAGTGTTTTAAGATAAAATTTATGTTTTAAAGATGTTTTCAAACATGCAAGTCCATGACATGTTTTAAGATGAAATTTATGTTTTAAAGATGTTTACCGTATTTTAAGATAAAGTTTATGTTTTAAACCAATGAGTATAAATGATGATGATTGTTTTAAATTTTTAATGTAATTTATTTTATTTAGTTTTTGTTGTGTCATTTAAAAGATGTTTTCGAACAAGTTCATGATAGTATTTTAAGATGAAATTTATGTTTTAAAGATGTTTTCGAATACATAAATACATGACTGTGTTTTAAGATAGAGTTAATGGTTGAGATATAGATGGGGGAGGTTAATGGGAAAAGTTTGGAAAAGAGTTGTCTAAAAAACGTAATTTTTTTGATTTATTATTTTAATTCGACCATTACATTTTAACTCTCGAATATCATGAAAATTGTTCCAAATCATTTTTCACCTCAAGGTTTTTCGTTCTTCTCCCCAATCGAGGTGGGATCTAGACGTTAGATCTCACAATCCACCTTTTCAGGGCCTAATGTCCTTGCGGGCACTTGTTCATTTCTCCAATTGATGTGCGTCCCCCACCAAATCCACCCCCTTCGAGACCCAGCGTCTTTACTGCCACACACCCTCGTGTCTACCGCCTTTGGGGAACAACCTCCTCACTGGTACTTTGCCCGGTATCTACCCCCTTCAGGGAATAGCCTCCTCACTGGCATATCGTCTGGTGTCTGACTTTGATACCATTTGTAACGGCCCATGTCCAACACTAGCAGATATTGTTCTCTTTGTACTTTCTCTCTCGAGCTTCCTCTCAAGGTTTTTAAAACGTGTCTACTAGGGAGAGGCTTCCACACCCTTATAAAGAGTGTTTCGTTCTCTTTTCCAACTGACGTAGGATCTCACAGAAATATTGATAAATGTTTATGAAAATGAAGATGGTAGGACTACCGTTTGGATTAACAAAAGGATGATTATATACAAGTATAGTTTCTATCTTTTAAAACATTAGGACACATATTTTTATTTACATCAATAATTCTTAAATATATTAAGAAATTAAGTATCTTATAAATGGTGGGTTTAATAGGTATATTTATATTCCAAAATTTGTTAAATACTGGTTGAAAGGTTAAATGAATTATTGAATTATTTAGGCTAAGTATAAATATGAATATATAATCAAATATTTGATCAAAATTATACTAAATCAATCCCCCGCATGATTTTATTTTCGAGAATTTTAAATACGAAACATTAGATTTGATTTGTCAAGATATTTTTTTATCCTAAATAGTTGAACTATAAGGTGGCTGATTTTGGCAATCATTTTGTTTTAACGGATATAGTCAAGATGATAGATGTGAGGTTGAATTAGATTTTGAGGAGGAAATTTAGGCTAGTACCAAGAACATTTAGTAGCTTCAGCTTAGGTCAACCATGTATAAGTGGTATTACTATTGACTTGATTGGATGAATTGATTGGAGTATGAACAGTGTGTGCCCTATGGCTCTTGCACGTGTCGTACCTTGTAATTGTTTAATGTTTATGTATTATGTGATGCGATGCTATGACGTATGCTATGTTATATTGTAAGTTATTCTATGAGATGTTTATGTTATGATGTGAATCTTGTTGTGACTTCCATATCGTATGATGCATAATACTTCTATATGATATGTCAATACACCCTATGTTAACCTGATTAGTTTAGGATTATGAGATACTGTTATGATACGTATGTATTTATGAAAGTTATGTTTATGAAAAAATAAATGTACGACCTGGATCATACGTGTATGCATGGTTTAAAGTTATGGGGATTTCATGCACTTTTGTATATCTATGCATCAGGATATTTCCTCGTTAGGATGAGTACGGATGCGTACAATTCGATATCTTTGTATGTCATGATATTATGAAGGCTCATTTCCCTTCATTCCTTGGCAGTGTGAGCATGCACTAGCTGAAGAGCAGACCCATGGGTATACATACATACATATATAATGAGATTATATATATCTACACACATACAAATTTGATCTTTACAAAATACATTAGTTCTTATAAAGATTCAAGGAACTCACGCTCAGGGGCTCACGCTTGCACGTGTGCTTGTGTGGAAAGAAGTACTACACATCCAATTTTATTTGGAGTAGAGGCCACCTTTACGATGATTTTAACTATAAGTCTCTAATCATGAGTTGCATGTGTTTGTATTCTCTGACCCTAATAGTAGGGTCACTTACTAATTATTTCTAAAATAGTCAAGCCATGTGCTACTTTTATTTTTGGTAAAGGCATGACACTCTTGTACGGTTGACGACGACATCGCAAGCAAAGACAATGACACATGCACAGGATAATTGTATTTAAATTTTTAGACCATATGTTAGTATAAAGTGTATTTCAATTTTAATATTTATTTGTTTTATTTCATATTTCGTATGTCTTTTTTTAAAGACTTTTTGAAACATGTAAATCCATGCCAATGATTTACGACCATGCTTTCAATGTTTATTTCCACATAAAAATGCATGTTATAATAATGGTAGCAATTTTAGGTTAGCAGAAATCTAGGATCGTTACACTTGATGACCAACAAATTAATGTGGAAGA